CCCTTAATGATTTTATCGAGACATTCTGCAGATACACTAGTGTGCAAACTTCAAGGACGAAATGATTTTTTTTTTTTTTTTTTTTTTTTTTGGAACGTATCGTCGTGCAAAAGTGTTCCACATCGACCCAAATCATACTATAAGATCCCCAAGTTGTGAAAATATAGGCCAATTCAAACAGAGACTCAAAAGGATAGAAAAGTCTTTTATTGATAAAGTAGCTCCGAACACAACTGGAGAGAAGATAGAAACGTCCATCTGAAAGGCGCCTTGAAGAAAATTCAGTCTTTAGAAGGAGCTAGGATCACTGATATAGGAATTACTCCAACGTGTGCTGTTGAGGTTGTGAAAGAGCTGTTGAGGCATCGCTTCCCATTCTTCCTGTAGCCTCCTTTTGAGCTGCGGAAGCATTTCTGACAGCTAGTCACATAAAAATATGTTGAATATCTTCACTCTGCAAGAGTTCTACGACAGCTACTGTACGATAAGTTGTAGCGTTGCCGTTCATGAAGAGAAAGCCCGGACGCAAAGTACCTTTAAATAGATGTATGTGAGGCACGAATAGCGAACAATAGTAATTCTTAACCTCTTTGGGAAATGAGAAGGTCACTCCGGCTAAAATGCACCCCAAATGAGAACACTAGCACCTCCCAAACGGTCCCTTTCGATAATGCTAGAGTGCCCATTAGGTGTTCCCTTCTCTCCAGAGTTGTGCACGTCTAGAATCGCTCGTCAGACTAAATCGGATCTCATTCCTACACAGCATTCAACCACATCACTTATGCCCAGTTCTTGTGTACCTTGCACCACAGAAACCAGGTCTCCGATGGCTTTAACGACACACACCGTATTGGTCGTCGTGCATATAAACCACATTTATGCAGCCTTCTGGCCAACATTGGCGCTGTTGCTCGTGGACGACCAACTCTGAACGCTGTTCCTGCCGTTTGAAATATTCTCCAAGTTCATGAAAAATTACTTTAAGCGATCTCGTACTCTTCCACCACACTCATCACACTTCGACCTTCTTCCAGCTTCCCAATGGCGCGACCTCGGATAAAGTCATCCAGATGATGTCTCCTGGATTACTTGTTGGCCTTATCACATGATAGTAGCAACTAGACGCAGGATAAATCATTGTATACCGTGCAACAGTTTTCACAGTGTTGCTAAGCATACACTGTCCGTGTGCTTTATATCCTTCCGACACTGTTCTTCCTAAATCGTGGGCCATATATGCCGATGTCCCACTGTACTGGTCCCAAGTCTTTCTCTTGACTGGTCCGTTCTTCGCCTTGTTCCCCTTTTATGGTAATTTCTATGCTTCGTCCTTATTTTTTGCATTCCAGTGTGTATCCCCAACAATTCTGCCTTTTCTATTCGCTATATTCCATACTCACTTTTGAAATAACTTCTTATCTGTGACATCCTTATGAGCAGAGGTGTCACCCTCCATTTCATCAGGACTTAGACTAAAATAGTGAAGAGATTTTATCCATGATACTGAACGTCTTTAGAGGCTAGGCATTTTCAAGTCAGGAGATGAAAGAAAAGACTAGTTTTATCAATACTGAAAATATTTTTAGTTGATATTCATACACTTTGGATAAATTCATGAATCTTCAAAAAATTCAGCTGAGACATCTTCCGGTTCTCCATTTACGATACGATATAACATTCTATAACTTAAATGGATACAGTTTCTCAGTGAAAAAACAGCCGCCCTTCGCGATATTATTTCTTTTGCCTTTTTTGCTAGTATAGGCGCACTACGCTGAGTGAAAAACCTCAGCAAAATATGGCTTGAACAGAGTTCATGTACAATTTTATATCACGAACAATAAACGAATAATAAAAGCGTGGTGCGCCCTTGATAAATTAATTAAATAGTCCAAAAAATCCAGCTAATTTCAAAAATTAAGTTACAGTTTTTACACAAGTCTCAGTTTAAAGATTTTTCCCCCCACTCTATTCGATAGTGAAAGATATGGGCTAAAAATCATTCAAATATTAAATTTTAAAACTACCTCAATCGAATTTTGAAAAAATAGCTTCACTACATTGTACTGTCATCGAAAAATAGTCCGTGTACAGAATTTGAACTCGATAGTTTGTCAGGAAGTAGGTTAAAAATCGATAACAAAATCCCGATCATAGAGAAATACCATGAGTGAACTACACAAAAACTTATAAAATTATGATTTATCTATAAAACCTGTTAGTACTTTGAAATACCAGAAAAAGAATGCATAGGAAAATGGTGATGTTGCTTGTTAAAACTCATTAATTGTTATATTTGTGGTTGCCGGAAGAAACATTATGTGCATAATTGCCATATTTCTCTGCACTCTAAAAATTTGGTGACTTTTATTGAGGTGGTTGCACTAATACATTAAGTACGAGTTATTTTTAGTAATTATACATGTTAATAGCATAGCATATTTTTGTTTTTTAAAATGCACTTCCACTAAATATTCTTAAATTCCAGGTACAGTACAGGTTTCTTCTTCCCTGTTTGTAATGAAATCTATAGCAGCCTTGAAAACTGCACGCAGTTCCAGGACTAAACTGATGAACTCCAGAGCTCCTTTTAACATCACAGAAGTCATTTTTTTTTAAATCTAAACTACAGTATACAATTCTTCCCTGTACCTTTTACGTTTTCCATCAACCATTACCAGAATGCAAATGAGGTTGAGTTCAAATAGTGAGTGAACTTGTAGCTTAGAAAGAGATTGTTGTAACAGCTCAGCAGAAAGCCATTTAGTATTCTTTTAAAAGTGTGTGCTGAATCAGGTTTTATTAAGTGATTGGCATGTAGATATTACAACAGATATGAACTAAATGCTTACTAGTCTTGACATGACTAATCTGTACTGTGAACTAATCTTGATATGATGTGTTAATAAGATGCTTTTCACCATGTATAATGCCTTCCATTACAAAAAATGTGTAAATGCAAAGATTCTATTACATATTTCTTACTTCAAAAACTTAATTTGCTAGTTTTTTACTACTGCAGTGTTGTGTATATATTTCTGGACACAGAAAGAGGCCTACCAGTTGCCGAGTGGTAAAGTCGCTGATCAGTAGTAGTTCGGTCTGAGGTTCAAATCCCGTGAACAGGCTGGCTGCATGAGCGTTTTCGTGGTTTTCCCCATGCGTTACATGTATACACGCCAGTTTCCCTTAGAAAGTCCTCCACAAAGGCATCCCTCCCCTTAAGCAGATAGCTCTCAAGGCTTTGCCTTAATCACATAACCCAAATCAATCTGGATATAGAAAGCACTATATCTCTTCCTACAAAACTTGCAAGTTGTACATACATATGTAACATATAATGAGGCAAATGTAGGATATTTTTAATCTACATGTTAGTTTAAAATTTGTCATAAAAATCTAAGAATACCATACCATCTAAAAAAAAAAAAAAAAGTACAATTCAGTGGAGCATTTGAAAAACATAGCCACAGTCTTTATAAAGTTAGATATACTAAAATTTCTAAAATATACGTAAAACTACCACCTAGTATATAATGCATCTAGCCCAGCTGGCAAAATGCTTTAAAATTTATTGTGGATATTCAAATATTCCAAAACCACACATAATGTTTAATGCTATCTCAGTGTAGGGTGTTCAAAAAAGGCCTTTACAGTTTTTTTTTTTTTTTTTAATATTGATCTTTGACACATGCTTCCAAATACAAAGTTCAAAAACTTTATGAGTGCTATTTCTATGCTAAGAATAGAAGAGTTTATCAAATGCAAAATCATTTTTTTTTATATATGACTCTCATAAAGCAAAATGTCCCAAAGAATTAATTTTCTGCACTTAAGCGCTTAATGTTCATTAAGCTATTAAGTATTTAAGCACAGAAAATTATAATTTTATAGGAAAAATTCTTAGTTATAACAGAACAAAATTTACGAGTATTTTTAATGCAGAAAATCCCTCAAAGAGTCTGAATACTTTTTCATTCAGACTTTGGAAGAAAAGGCATGAGCTGTACTATGAGAGTTCATATAGGTTAAAACCACACTAAAATATTTATGAACTCTAAAAAATTTAAATTTTGCATATATCTATTATTTTTTGCATTCCCCCCATCCAAACTGCTAGACATTTGCTCATTAAGCCTTTGCTAGGAATGGCCAATCATCAGTCATTTAACTATTTCATCACCAGAGTGCTACCATAAGGGATTACATCCAAAAGGAAAAAAACAGGAAAACAATACAGCCAACTGCTTACACAGGAGTTTAGCAGTAAGTATCTACTACTATAAAATTAAATTAAATGACTGATTTTTGTAAGTTTTGCATGTAAATGTATACAACTTTTCATATTTAACTTTCTCAGCAATAGGCTTCTCTGATCTCCTTATGAAGAGGTGTCTTTGAACATTACTTATTAGCTATATTTGTACAATTATTTACTTGACTCTCTTTTCATTTCCTTTAAGATAATTAAGACTAATTAATCATTAGGATAATTCTAAAATACTAAAGGAAAATTTAAATACATTTGAAATAATGAAGCAATATATTCAATTTGACAAATAGCATTACTACATAAAAGTGGCCTGACTGTTCAGAAGATTAATTCATTAAAGTATAATGAACCTTTTATTAATTATACTTTTTGCTCTTTTATGCCAAATAAATATTAGTTATGCAAAAAATTAAATTTTGCATTTACAAAGTAGTTTTATCTATCTTTTCGAAATCATTTCATAAACATTTTGCTTATTTTGAGAGGCTATATAATAGGAAATACTTACTTAGAATCGCTATTTAAGATAATATATAATTAGTACACAAAAATTGACTCCACATTAAGTAGCTTCTTTGGACTATCTACAGAAGAACACATGGACAAAATAAAACTTATGTAATTTGTCAAAAAATAAAGAAATAAAAATTAAGAAATGCACTTCTTGTACATTTAAATAAGAAATGATTAGAATTATAAAAACAGAATATCTCAAAACTTGAAGAAAATGTATTTTATTTACAAGCAAATAAAAATTAAATTTCTCCATGCTAAAGGGAATAAATATTACAAAACGATAAACTGTAAAATATCTGAAAATCTTATATCCTCTAGAATACTTCTGGATACTTTATATAATTTTAAGTACAAAACAGAAAATAAATCTTTTACATATTTAACAATGACTTTTAACAGAACAATAGTGTTTTTCTCATCAATCAGTCTACAGCATAACTCAAAGATAACATTTTTGTTTATTGTAGAAAATATAAAAAAGGCAATAAAAGTATAAATACATAGAAGTCTTTAAGATATATTACACATAAACATCAATAGCAAAAACTTCACCACAATTTTATACAAAGTATAAAAAGGCCATACTTTCAGTACTGTATTAATAATAATTGAAACATCCATATGCAATACCTATCACAATGAATACACAGAATTATAATGCAACAAAGAACAAACACATTGGCGCCTCAAATACGTAAGTTAATAAAGTTGGAAGGCCCCACAAAAATACAAAACATAAAAATTTTATTAACTTCTTAACATGGACAAAATATTTCATTTAATTAATTTTAACTAAATAAAAAACATTTTGATCTTCATTTCACACAACAAATTACATTTCCTGAACTATAAAATCATTTTATCTTTAACATAATGGCTAGGCAGCAATAATAAAATCCAAGAAATGTTTAAGAAAGACTTCTATAATCACTACAATGAGACAAACATTTGAAGCTTAACTCATAAGCTTGCTACAAATACCACAAACAATTTTTCTTTGGAATAAACAATATAAGGCAATAGCACATCCATTTATTTCTGTTTAAAAATTAGTTAAAGAAGCACATAACTTGAATATTAACGAAAATTCAAGACATGTATAATGCCTTCCTTTCCAACATCTGCAACTAAGTTTTCTGCACACTTAAACAAAAGCATGCCTAAAACCAGACTTCTGAGGAAAAGAATTATATAAAGAATAAAAATGAAAAAAAAAAAAAAAAAAAAAAAAAAAACCACCTTCCTGGGTTATTACACTTATCCATTTTCAAGATTATATATGCATAAAAAATGATTTCCTTCCAAAAATTTCCTAAATTCCTGTATGCCCTGTTTTCAAGACAAATTATCTCCCTTACATAAATAACATATTTATTCAGACTAAACCTATAGGACATATAATAAAACTGCACATTAAATTCTTTCCTGACAAGATTTTTTTAAAAAGAAAAAGTTTGACCATTCCCTACTAAAACATGGTAATATAAATGCAGAATTCTCTTATTCTTATTAAACAATTTAACAGAATAGACTCATTATTTTTATCGTTCACTTTTCATTACAGAAAATCTAAGAATGATCTTGAGCTTTATTAATATGGATATTCCTGCACGATACGGACATTTTTTACATGCTTTATCATAAATTTTCATCTTCTGCTTCATTAAAAATATTCAATATAAATTTTTATAATCTATTATTTTGTGTAATTAGAAAAATCTTCTAATTTTTTATATTTAAAAATGTAATTGTTTATACAATTATGAGATTAATTTTATACAATTTCATTCACATATAAACTGTTATACTGCTCATGAAATGTGCCAGTTCTTTGTTTAAAGCATAAGAAAGAAACAAGCATTTATTCAAAGTACAATCTTCTTAAAACAAGAAGACTGTTACAAATCTGAATTCGCATAATTATTCAGAAACTGATCTGCACTGCATTAGAATGCAAATATTTTCTTAAACCAACTTGATAAAACATGAAATGCTTAAGGTTTAATTGTTTACGAAAAACTCACAGAAACATAGCAGACGAAAATAGAAAAGCTGTTAAGAAGAAGCTCCAGATTAAAAATTGCACAAAGGTGTAATAACAACATGCAATTTCAAACAATCTGAATTGGATCCTATTAAATACGGTGACCGACCAGCTCGCAAATCATTGAGATCTTCATATGGAATCAGATCATTTATGTTTAACATTCGTTCTTCATCAGAGAATACAAAATTCTTTTGAACCACTCTTCGAACATGTTCCAGCCCATCCTGTTTTCCACATATCAATATTCCAACTGAAACACGGGCAATATCATCTGGATCTTTTTGAGTTAAAGAGAGTCTTACAGTTTTTGACACAGATTCTGGAACTTCTAAAGTTCCTTGCCATACAATTAGATAAAACTTTTTAAACCATACACCTTTAGGATATATATCGACAGTCCATTCAAAAGAATGATTTGAGTGACATTCTGCAAAGCTTGCAGGGGTGGTAAAAACTAAGGTTCTCACTCCATATATAGGCAATGAAGGAAAATTTTCAATGCACAATGATGCACTCCATTTCTCTGCAGTGTACAGTCGGGGTGTGAATAATAGACAACCATCTTCATTTTGAAGGACAGAGAGCACTCGTTCATCACTTTTGTTGGAATGAAAAGCCATAGCCAGAGCCATTCTTTCAATGAAAAAATCTTTAAATCGACTAGTCAATGAATGTATGAGCAGACTTGCCAACTGTCTTGGTGACATCATAGGAAATCTGACATGCGACATGACATCTGTCACAAGATTACTAAAATGATACTGAGCTTCATTCTCTCCATGCATGTTTTTTAATTTTTGCTCTTGAATTGCAAGCCATTTTGCAACACAACTGAAAAGAAATATTTTTTAAATCATTGTAGCATGAAAGGATATGCATTACCTAATTTAAAAATTTATACTTAGGTGATCAACTAAGACATTGTTAACTGTAAATAGTTCTACATGCATACATAATATATCAGAAAAATATGCTCAAGAAAATACATAGTATACTAAACATATCACATTCTCTAAGCAATAGTTTCCCAAACTTTTCTCATCATGTAACACTTTTTAAGTTCTAAAATTTTTAAGGGACACTAAAGTAAGTTCAGGTTTTTAATTATAAAAACTGATAACATAAATATATTAAATAAACAAAATAAATATTTAGACTTTGATGTATACAAGTCTTTGTATTACAAATTCTTTTAATGTCAGACACAATGTTATAAACCTGAATTCTTACATCAGATGTAGCATCAGATCAGTTTCTATATTTTGATTTTGTAGCAATGTAATATGAAAAACCTGCCTCACAAAATAAATTGTTGCAAAAGGAAATAAAATATGAGTACTCACTTTGATAAGTTCAAATGTTCTTCTAACAAACTTATTCAAATTGTTTTTTACCGGATTCAGTTGTCAAATCAATTAATTTTTCAAAACCACCTGTGCTGATATCTTTCGACTTAGTTGTTATCGTGAAAATATTTTAAATCCAAGAATTGTCTTCCTGGCACTGTTTGAAATATTGGCCAAAATTGCAAATCCAAATCATGCAAATGTTGTAATACTTCACTGTCTATTTTTTAACATTCTTTATTTAAAACACTAAGATATAAAAAACAGTCATTCTCTTCTAGTGAAGAAATCCAGAATATTCTGGATTTCCATTGTAATGAAAAAAAAGTACTTTTAATGATAAAAATATTACACTTATTAGTTAGTAAAAATTTTATATTTACTTAACAATTTTAAAAAGAAGATATAATAAAAATAATTAAATAAATAAACATCTAATGAAAACTAACAATTTAAAAATACTTATGCAATACTGAAACACTTTTTCACTTCACAGCACAGAACAAAAACATTAACAGAAATGCATTCTACATGTTTTTCATTTGTCAAAATAAGCCATCTGGTATCATGCTACATTAATAATTTACAATGTGTACAATTTAAACCACTTTATTTTCTGTTTAAATTTCTGTTATGAGTCGCTTAAATTACATTGAATACATACAAGCAGACAATGTCTCATTGTTCTCTAACCTCACTCTCATCATTTTCATGAAAACATTAAGGACTCTAATAATTTGTGCATTTCCAAATCAGATAATGATGGTTCAGTGAGTTCACTAATTTTAACACTTTTACATTTTTAACAATATTTTAATTACTATATACAGAGTGTATTCTTAGGCCGCCGCCTTCAACATGAACAAACTTTATTCTCTTTCTCAAATATGCGAGCAACAGCGCCCTCTAGCCTTTTCCTTCAAATTACACAACACTCCCCACCTGAACTCGGTGGAGAGTTCATCTTTCAATAATATATTCTAGAATATTCAATTAATATTTCAACAATCAATCCTAGAGAAATGGTTAAATATAACAAACATGCATACATAACTATAAGCATATAATTTTTACAAAACATTAAATGATACCTATCTGCGAGGTCAGGAGAATCAAACCTAAAAATACAAAATGTAAACATTAGTTAAGTTCCATATTATATAACAATTGTACAGGCCTTTTTAAGGTACCAGTAGGTGTTTTAATTATGCAAGATCTTATTTTACCATCTCTGCCTGGCATTAACTCCAAAATTTTACCTATTGTCCAGAGATTTCTGGGATGTTTATCGTCATGAATCAAGACAATATCGTTGATTTTAAACTGAGATGCGCTAGAGTGTGGAGGTAAAATATTGGCAGATCTCAGATTAAAAAGATACTCTGATCTCCAATGCTTCCAAAAATGATTTAAAATATCTTGATGGTATTTATATCGTTTAATAATTGAAGTTTCTTGATCCAATCAAATTATTTGATGTTATGGTTTTTAGCAGGCAGAGATAGTAATCCGTCTACCAACCAGAAAATGAGAGGGTGTTAGTGGAGAAGGTTCATTGGGATCGGTAAACACGTAGGTAATTGGTCTACAATTAATCATTGCCTTCGATTTCAATGAGCACTGTTTCAAGCTCTTTCACAGTAAGGGATGATCGACCAATAATTTTTTGTAAGCTGGATTTTGTGGTTCGTACCATAAGCTACCAAAACCCTCCCCACCATGGACCCTCTCAATAATAAATTTCCAATTTATGCCTCTAGCAGAAAATAATTCTTTCACAGATGAGTCACTCAAAGTTTTGAAAATATGTTTTAGTTCTTTGTCAGCTCTTTTAAAAGTGTTGGCATTATTAGAGTACACGGTGGTACACAGTCTTGGCAAGCTAAAAATCTTCAGAAAGCTAGCAAAAAACTTTCATTGCTGAGATCAGTTACTATCTCTATATGTAAGGCACGAGAGTGACCGCACACGTTAGCAACAGCATGTAAACTTTACCTTGCCTGTCTTTCGTAAAAAAATGGACCGGCGAAGTCCAACCCGGTCACAGCAAATGGAGGCGATTCTTGGATTCTGTCTGGAAGGAAGTGGAGCGATATCCTGTACCCCAGGACGAGCACTATATCGTTTCTGCATATCACACATTTGCTGATGATAGTCTTAACACGCTGTCTTCCTTTAATGATCCAATATTTGTCTCTGATCTGAGTTAGGTGTCGAATTAACTCCAGAATGGGAATACCCTTTCATGCGAGTCCATGATGATCAATGAAAAACTCGGTAAACTTGCATTTAGAGGTTAATAGAATAGGATGTTTTAAATTCTCGTGACAGTCTGCAAATCGAATGCGACCTTTCAACAGAAGAATTCCCTTCTCATCAAGCCTTGGATTAAGAGAGTAGATGGAAGAATCGAGAATTGATTTTTTATTTGATAACTTAATTATTTCCACTTGATACGATTCTCGTTGAGTAATTTTTACCCAATAATGTTCAGCTGCTTCAATCTCAAAAGCACTTAAAGGTCCCTTCTCTGTAGACCTTTTCCAAAGCCTCCCAATAAATCTAAATACATAGGCAGTAATTCGAAGTAATTTTCCTAAAGAACTGAATTTTTCTATATGCAAAATTGGGGATTCATTGTTAATTACAGATACAGTCAAAATAATACTTTTTCTTAACTCTAACGATTCTGAATTTGGTTGTAATTTCTTTTGTTTCGGAAAGTTTTCAGTAGGAAAACGTAATCAGTGTGGCCCATGCCACCACAGATCATTCTTAACTAGTCACTGAGCACTAATTCCTCGAGTTAGTAAATCGGAAGGATTTGTTTTCCTTCGCAGTGGTTCCACAATTTTTTGTTGCATATACCCTGTATTTCTGTAACACGATTGGCGATAAATGGTTTCCAATTATTTGGCGAACCTTTAATCCAAGTAATAGCGATTTCAGAATCACTCCAAAAATAAACATCCTCAATTAAATCAGCAAGCAAGTTTTTCAAATATTTATACATTCGAGCAGCCACAAGTGCTCCCATTAACTCTAAACGAGAAAGGGTGATTGATCTTAAAGGTGCAACACTGCATTTCGACATGATAAAAGAAGTTTTAATTTCAGAATCACTCATACAATATCTGAAATATGCGATGGCCCCATATGCTTTAGGACTAGCATCCGAAAATAGGTGAAGGCTTATATTAACTGGATCATCATCAAAGAAATTTCGCTGTATCGATATTTCAGTTAAATCACTAAGTTCCCCCGCCAAATGTTGAATTTGTTTATAATCTCCGCAGGAAGGACCTCATCCCAGTCAGAACCGGAACACCAGATTTCTTGCATAATAATTTTTGCCTGAATAACAAAAGGTGCAATAAATCCAAATGGGCCGTATATTTGGGCAATACTTTGCAAAAGTTTCCTTTTTGTAGCAAAATCATTTTCAGTAGAAAAGTCAATTAAATTTTTTAAATTTAACTTTATAGTGTCCTCAATGGAATTCCAAATCATGCCTAAGAAATTCGATTCACTAGTTAGTTTGTTATCTGATTCCTTAATCCCATTTGAGACCCATAAATCGTTTAATGCTTTAGAATTAGTTCTTAATTTTCTGAAATTCATCCCGGCATCCTTAAATATGTTAACCGCATCTACAGATAACCGATATGCATCTTTAACCGTTCCTGCTCCAAAATATAGGTCGTCGACATAGACAGAAGAATTTGAACTTTGGAAAAACTGTCCAGCATTTTATCTTTATATTTCCGAATGTGATATTTTATAGTGGCGGCCAAAATGAAAGGAGATATAGTCAAAACTGAAAGCTACGCGACATATTTGCATAATCTTAAAAGGAGTCATTATTTTCATTAAACCAAAGAAATTTTAGAAATTGTCTATCACTTTCAGCAATTGCTATCATCAAAAAGGCTTTTTCAACGTCTCCACAAAACGCTATCTTAAACTTACGAAAATTTAACATAATGCCTAGTATATTTGGATTTAAATTAGGTCCAAGGCAGTCATTTAACGAATTCGTGTCCTCTGTCCTTGAGCTAGCATCGTACACAATTCTTACCTTAGTAGTTTCACTAGGTCGTATCACTGCTCAGTGCGGCATAAAATAACCCAAATTTGTATCATTATTCGGACATTTCTCTACAATTCCTTCTAACATCTGGTTCTCAATTATATTTTTATATTCCTGAAAAATCTCCGGAGTTTTACTTAGTTTATTGTGAAGGTTCTGCGAATTGTTTCTTTGCTTACCTTAAAATTATTTCTCTAGATTATTCGGACCGTATTTCCAGATTAAAACTTGCCTCATATCTACGTATTTTTAAACTGCAAATTTCTTTCAAACTGGTCTATTATTTCGCAGTCAATATCCGAATAATCATCAGAATCATTAATTCCCATATGTTCTAATTCCCAAAAACCTCTTAAATCTTTCAGCACAGCAGTGTTTGTCATTACCGCTAAATT